TGCACACATCCTCAGCTCCTTTAAAAATTTTTTATTTTGAGCCAGGTGTGGTGGTGCACACCTGTAATCCCAGCACTCGGGAGGCTGAGGCAGGAGAATTGCTATGAGTTCGAGACCAACCTGGGCTACATAGTGAGTTCCAGGTCAGTCTCAACTACATAGTGAGACCCTGTCTCAAACCCCCGCCGCAACTTTTTTTTTTTTTTTTTAATTTTGAGACAGGATCTCACCAAGTTGCTAAATTGCCCAGGCTGGGCTTGAACTTGCAATCCTCCTGCCTCAGCACTACCCCCACCCCCGCTGGGATTACAGGCATGAACCAACACTCAACTTCCCCATTGTTCTTATGCTTCATAACTGCAGGAAGCTCTCTATCTAAGTATGTCAATGGTTTTCAAGAGGTGGAAGGAGGAGGAGAAGGAATCTGACTCCCAGGGGACATCTAACAATGTCTGGGTACATTTTTAGTTAATACCGGAAGCAGTGAGGGGATAGAGACCTGTGCAGCTGCTGCACACCCTGCAACGCCCTGCACAGCAACCAAGAATTATGCAGCTCTGGATGTCAGCGGCGGCGAGACTGGGGACTCGTTGCATATGTCAGCAGCATGTGCCTATGGAAGATGACATTTCAGAGCCGAGAGGTGGATGCGAACCTCAGGGAGCCAGCAGGATTTGGTGAGGTGGAGGCTGCGCGAGCCATAGTCTCCTGAGCGTGTCTATCTCCCCAGCCTCTGTCCACTTTTCCTCAGAGCCTCCCAAATGGTCCGTTGTCAGGAGGCACATCTGTGAACTTCCACCATTTCACGTATTTATTGATTAAAGAGAGAGTGAATGTGAACCCTGGGGGCTTTGCTGATGGAGGGATAAGGATGCAGCCCAAAGAGGCCAGAGCTGTCCATGGAATTCTCAAAAGTGCATTTAAGAGGGAGAAATAGTTCCTCTACTAAAGAGAAAATGACAGGAACCCGCAAGAAGAAAGGGAGTGGAAAGACCAAGATAAGGGGCCGCCTGGGGGTGTCCTGGTCACTGATTCTCCTCTTCCCTGTGGTCTTTACTGAGCCAAGAAGTTGCTCCTTTTTGCTTCAGCCACCTTGAGTTACATCTGTCACTGGCAACCCAAAGTGTCCTCTCACTAGGGCACCACTAGTTCAGCACAGGTGACATTTCAAGAATTAGCAATATTGTAATGAAATATGAAGATTGAACTTGGTATTGGCTTTTTGATTACAAAGTTTAAAAGAGAAATGCTACACCACTCACTTCACCGATGTTTGTATGAAGCCGGTGCACTCGGGACCCCGCAGGAGGGGACTTAATCCTAAGAGGTCAAGAGTGACTCAGAGGTGGTCGCTATTACAGAAGGACATTGCAGGGGTAAAGGAGGACTAGGAAGGGCATTTGGCTGGACAGAGCAGGCTAGTGGGAGCTGGTGCAGAGGGTGGACAGGGTAAGCTGTGGACATGGCAGTGGTGCATTGTGGAGGAACATGAGGGCCAAGGGGATGGCGTCTGGGATGGGACAGTGACCAGGAAGAAAACCTAAATGCACGTCAGGGGTATGTGTTTTACAACCCTTGGTGAAAAAAAAAAAAAGGGACTTTGTCCAAAGGCTCTGGGGAGCACTAATAACATTTACACAAGGAAGCAGCATGTTGTATGTTAGAATTATCACTGACGCAGGCCTGTAATCCCAGCACTCGGGAGGCTGAGGCAGGAGAATAACTGTGAGTTTGAGGGCAGTGTGGGCTGCACAGTGAGTTCAAGGCCAGCCTGAACTACATACATAGAGAGACCCTGTCTCACAAACAAACAAACAAACTGACAAAAAACAAAACAAAACATTCTGTAAGGTGAAGATAATAATAGTTATCTGGCAAGGTTGCTACCAAGATTCTAGATAATAGTTAAAGGGATGATAGCCAAGCCAAAAAATGCACTCTGCGTTCTGTTCCAAACACTGTTAAAAACTCAGAGAAATTGTCAATTAGTAGGTGGGATTATGAGAGTTTTACTAAAGGCTTAGACTTGCTTAAAGGTGATCACTAGATCTACAGAAACATGGGGTTTGAAATTCCTGGTCAGTGTTGACAGCTGCTAGATCAGTCAAGTTCCTGCCAAACCAGGACATTTCAAACTGAGACAGAATTTCTGAGATCATTCTAGAAACAAAAGGATTCCAATAGCCACTATGGAATTTTTTACAATGTCTGAGAATTATGGAATATATAGTCTATAGCCACCTATGAATTGAGTATTATGTTAGGAGTGTGTGTGTGTGTGTGTGTGTGTGTGTGTTACTAGGGATTGAACCCAGAGTCTTCTCACTGAGTTACATCCCCAGCCCTTTTGTTAATTTTATATTTTGAGATAAGGTCTAGTTAAGTGGCTAAATTATCCAAGCTGGGCTCCAACTTGGAATCCTCCTGCCTCAGCCTCCCAGACTGCTAGGATTACAGGCATGTACTACCATGCCTGGTTTATGTTTTGTTTTTTTTTCCTCAATAAACATTCTTGGGACTAAAAGCTAATCCTAAAGAATGTTTCTTCAAGGGCCACAAGTGGGAACAGTAAGGAAAAATACTTCATTGCAACAACAACAACAGCAGCAACAACAACAACAGATCAAATTACTCTTTTCTCCATAAGGATTTTTCTGAGTAAAGTAAGTACAGAGGGGACAAGTGGAGAAATAATTCACCTTAGGCTACCAAATCATTGCAAGATCTCTCTCTGGTCAAAAGGTCACTGGGTTATGTGGCGTATTTCATTTTCATACTGATTTCAAGGGACCCCTCACACCATTTATTTAATCTGGTGATTTAGAAATTTTAAGTAGATAAAAGAAAAGATTTCAAAAAAACACTTATTTGAAATGAATCCTTCAGCTTAAAGCAATGTAGTTTGTCACTTGCAGAAAGTGCTAATTTTTGTTAAAGGCAGAGGCTCTCTTTAACTAGTGGAAGTGGAAAATGTGTGAAAGACCACAATTTTAAAGCTAAGTTTGGAAGCAGTATCCATTAGTTAGTTAAAACTTTTTTCCTGTTTGTTTTTATCAGATAACCAGTAAAGCCTTTAAATTAATCACCAGGATGTATTGTTTTAATGAAAATTATAATTGTTAGCATTTTTCTGGATAACTGACACTTGTCAATAATTCAGAGGTTTTCCTTACACAAAGGTTAAATCAATGTATACATGCTTCTAAAAGAATATATGAGAAACTTCTATTAATAATAACTTCCTTCAGTTGGAATTGTTAGGTGGATCAAGAAAAGGATTTAAGGGCTGGGGATTTAGCTCAGTGGTTCTGCCACCTGCTTCACAAGTGCAAGGTCCCAAGTTTGATCCCTGGTACCAAAAAATAAAAGAAAAGGATTTAACTTTTTGTCTTGGAATGATCTGATTTTAAAAACTTTCTGTGGGCATGGATTGTTCTAGTAATTAAAAGACCTAGAAATATTAAAATAAGTATTTTTCTAACATATGCATTATCTTGATAGCTATGAAATAGCTGAAAGGTTTTTTTTCCCCACTTAAGGTCTTTGTAAAATAGTGTAGTCATACACAATAACATGTTCTTTATACAGCTCTATTCAAAGATGAGAAAATGGCTACGAAGTCATAATGTAATCTCTCCTACAAGAGTACAAGTGACTAAAACGGTAGTCTTATGGTTTTATATCCTATGTACATATATATAAAAATCCAGAAAAACAAATACAAGAAAAGGGTTAGCATAAAGCACTTCTATGTTCTTAGGCTCAGGCAGGAGGATCACTGTGAGTTCGAGACCAGCCTGGGCTACATAGTGAGTTCCAGGTCAGTCTTAACTACATAGTGAGACCCTGTCTCAACCCCCCGCCAAAAAAAACAAAAAACAAACAAAACTAACATTAGATTCTTAAAAATTAAAATACTTCTTCTAGCAAGTAAATATTAATACTATTAATATTTTTTCATTTTCAAAAGGTAACAGATATTCAGAATAATTTTTCACAAGTAAATTATTTGACTCAAAAAGTTGAATCTTATTCCACTTGTAACCCTCAACATGAGGCTAAGTTTCTCAAAAGTTTCCAAAAGATTACTTTTTTTAAAAGATTTTAAAATAAAAATTATTTAATTATGGTGTCATTTATAAATCCAAGATCCATAGAGGCTATGTTTTATTCTACAGCCTTGGGCAAATTATTTAATCTCACCAAGCTTCAGTTTCCTCATCTTTAAAATGGGAATAATAATAGGATCTAGTTCATAACGGTGTTATGAGGATCAAATGTGTTAATTCATGTAAGAGGCTTAATGTCTGTGGTACATTATAAGCACTCAGTAAATACTGTTTGCATTTTCACTGCTGTTTTTAAAAGTTTGGCGTTTCCTAACATAGGCTCTAGCTTTTGAAATATACTGCTTTAAAATACTTAGTACAGCATATTCTTCCCTGGCCTTATATTAATTGTTTAACTTCTAGAATCATTGATCTCATCTTTTCTGCCAAATAAAGCCAAGCGTGGAGTACATTCATTTCACGTTCTGCATCTCGAACTATGTATCAGCTGACATTTACTTTTCTTCCTACAGCTCCGTACCACGAAGCAGAGCAAGACTAGCAACACACACGATTATGATGTCTGTGCCTTAACATAATTCTGAAATGACATGTTGTCAGAAAAGGTTCCCAGCAATGAAATCTATACAATACTGGTTTCCCACAGAATAACAGTAGCCTCATATTCTCATATTCGAATGTATAACTGTAGATTTAAAAATGATCTCAAAGTAAAACTTTGGAAGAAACTAAATTGGATTAATACATCAATAACAACTTAGAGACACAAAACATGCTCTACTTTAAATATGAAATCTGAGGCTAGAACTTGTGAATTAGCTTCAAATTAGCTGTGCTGACTTCAAGAAAGAGAACCACTTAAATTTCTCGGTGTTTCTTTTTAACTCCTTGCACATTCTGAAGCTATGCTTAGAAGCCAGGTGCACGTACCTTGATCAGGTTGTGTCCCACGGTGTAGACAGTTGTTATGTTCCCCCTTTCTCCCGGAGCGTGTATGCCTGTTCCGTACCCATGCCAAGCAACCAGATACGGGTTGTGAATCGTAATCCAGTATTTGACACGGTCCCCAAATGTCTGGAAGCAGTATGTGGCGTAGTCGTTGAAGATATCTACCATGGATTCATTTTTCCACCCCCCGTATTTTTCTTGTAACGCTAAAGGCAAATCCCAGTGGTATAAAGTAACTATAGGCTCAATGTTTCTCAGTAGTAGAGCGTCCAGCAGATCACTGTAGTACTGGAGACCTTTTGCATTGGCAACAGCTATTATTCCATCGGGGAAGAGCCTTGGCCAGGAAATCGAGAACTGATAAAAAGAAACTCCTAAAAAATCCAGAGCTGACAAGTCTTTTTCCAGAAAAATGTAGCTGTCACTGGAGCCGCTGGTGCTGTTGACAATTTTAAAGTGTGTGTGGATGAAATGATCCCATATAGAGGGTCCTTTTCCATCCTCCTTCCAACTCCCTTCCACTTGAAACGCTCCAGTCCCAACACCCCAGAAAAAGTTTTTAGGGAAAGTGTCATAGAGAAACAGCTGACTTGCGTTTACCGGGCTAAAATGAGGATTTCTAGACCAGACAGCTTTTCCCTCTCCGGAGAGTCCGGCCGCGGCTGGCAGCAGGAGCAGCGCCGACAGGATGACAGCTCTTCCCAGTGCCCGGCTGGACATCGTCTTTCTGCGGGGTGCGTCCCTTTCATGGGCGCTGAGGAGGATCCATTCATTCCCCGGAGACCCTGCTGCCGCGCAGCCTGGCTTCTCCCTGCCGCCTGCTGACTCTTATCAGCGCTTCAGCGGGAGCGAGTGATTGTGAGGCTCTGTCAATGATTAGCCTGAACTGTGGGACTTAGGATGGGTCGGGAGGGCCGCGTAACTTGAGGGAGGTGGCCCCGCGGCCGTCAACAACTCGTCCTCCCTCCTCAGGGGACAAATGAGATGAAAATGCCCCAAGGGACAAGACTTTGCCGGCAGGAAGACCTGTGCTAGCAATGAAGAAAAATGGCATTTTGCGTGTAGCCTTTCATATTGACGCAAATCTTTTGAACATTATTGAATAATTTTGAATATTATTTTTGAACATTATTTTTAGACTTTTGGAATGGTGATTTTATTATCTATTTCAGGTGAACTAATATTACATATGATCAATAGCATCCTATATCCCAACAATCAAGAATTAGGAAAGATAAGGCTTACACTTTCACATAATGTATCTCAATGTTACCTTAGTAAAGGTACCCCATTTTAAGAAAATTAAACTACTGATAGATGTGAAAGAAGATTTGAATGAAGAAATCCAGCAGTTTCTGGATGAAACACTTGAGTACTTTCAAATTTTATAAGTTTAACGCACATTTCACCAAAATCCTCCGATTCCAGGTCTTAGTTCAACAAATTTACTGAGAAAGTTCACCTGAAGGATAAATAGATATTAATTATAAAAAAGAAAGAAGGAAAAAAAGAAAATGTGAAGTTATAGATTACCTTCAGATAAAAGACTACAACAATTTAAAGCAGTGTGATCCTGGAACAGGAATAAAGAGAAACATTATTCAGAATATTTAGCTTCCAAAACCACTTTATTTATATTTATTTATCTTTGTATGTATATGTGTATTTATTGATTTATTTTGAGACTTGGTCTCACTATGCAGTTCAGGCTGACCTTGAACTCACTATGTAGCCCAGGCAATCCTCCTGCCTCAGCCTTCCAAGTAGCTGAGATTACAGATGTATATCACTGCACTTAGTCACATGTATTTTTGTAGTAGCATTACTTATTACCTACAAGTATTTATTTTAAAATAATTTAAAGATCTATCCATTAAGCAAATAATTGTCTAAAGCATTAAATACCGCTTTGATGGTATTAGCCTTATTTTAAAAGAATATGGAAACGAAGGAATGTAGCTCAAAGGCACAGTACCCACCTGGCAAGTGCGAGGCTCTGAGTTTGATTTCCGTACCCCCCCCAAAGAGTATTTAGTAACGTTTGAAAGCATGGTGGTAGTAACATTAGGTGTGGTGGTGTCCAGTTGTAAACTCAGCACTCTGGGAGACTGAGGTAGGAGGATTGCAAGTTCAAGCCCAGTGTGGGCAGATGAGTGACTTAGTGAGACCTTGTCTTAAGATAAAAAATTAAACCTGGGGGTTTAGCTCAGTGGTGCTGTCACCTGCCTCAGAAGTTTAGGTCCTGGGTTTGATCCCTGGTACCAAAAACCAAAAACCAAAACCAAACCAAACAAAATAAAATAAAAAATTAAAATGGCTGGGGATGCAGCTTAGTGCTAAGGCCCTGAGTTAAATCTCCAATATCAAATAAATAAACACATAAATAGATAAATAAAGGCTTAAAATAGGGATGGGGGCTCTGGGGATTTAGCTCAGTGGTTCCGCTGCCTGCCTCACAAGCACAAGGTCCCAAGTTTGATCCCTGGTACCAAAAAAAAAAAAAAAAAGGGCTAGGGGAATAGCTCAATGTTAGAGAGCTTACCTAGTATTCATGACCTCTTTGCTTCTCCAGTCCCACAAAAAGGAAAAAAAAATTAAGAAACCAGTGAAAAAAATCAAGACAATAAATTGAATAATCAGTATGATAATGATGTCATAAAAATAGAACAGAACCTATAGAAGAATAGGAAATACCCACATTGGACCATATCGTGTTTGGATGGCAAATTACAGTTTTAGTAATTCCTTTTTTTGTATATTTAATTTTTTACTTTTAATAACAAAAATGACCATAAAATGAAAAAGTCAATATTAGATGTAAAAGTTTATTGATAAGAAACTGGATGCTTTCCCTCTAAGGTTAGGAATAAGGCAAGGGTGTCTTCTATCATCACTACTCAATGTCACACTGGAAGTCCTAGCTAATGCAATAAGACACGAAAAGGAAATAAAACAGGCAGGGAAGCAGCATAACTGTTTGTTCATAGGTGAGAATAACTGTCTATGTAGAGAATCCCAAAGAAGCCAGGTATAGCATGCGCTGCTTGTATCCCAGAACTTTGGGAGGTTGAAACAGGAAGACTGGAAGTTCAAGCCCAGCCTGGGTATTTTAGAAACTGAGTGAAACCCTGTCTCAAAATAAAAAAATAAAAAGGTCTGGGAATGTAGCTCAGTTGCAAAAGCCCTGGGTTCAATTCCCAGTACAACGACCAAAACAAAAACCCAAAATTAGAAAACAAAAAACAAAACAAAAGAAAGAAAGAGGGAGAGAAAGAAAATCCCCCCAACCCCTCCCCCGCAAATCCTGGTACTAATAAGCAATTATTGTAAGATTGCAAACTACCTACTTGACACACAAAAGTTAATTGCTTTCTTAATACTAGCAGTGAACAATTAAAATTTGAAATTAAGGGCTGGGGATGTAGCTCATTGGTAAAGTACTTGCTTAGCATGGGTTCCTTCCGGTACTGAAAAAAAAAATTAAAAGATGTCCTTTATATTAGCATATTAAAATTGAAATTAAAAATCCATTAACATTAATCTAATATCATTTCCCTGCTATTACTCGCTAATGGATGGTTGGGGCTTTTTTTGTTTTTTGTTTTGGTACTAGGGATCAAACTCTGGCCTCGCACTTGTGAGGCAGGGGGCAGAACCACTGAGCTAAATCCCCGGCCCTCTAATGGATGGATTTTAAATTTAAAAAAACAGAAACAAAAAGGAAGTATTTAGGTATAAATATTTTTAAAATGAGCAAGATCTGTCGAGGTGAACTGATGAAAAACATCAAAGAAGATCTATATTAATGGAGAGATATTCACATAAGTGGATAAGAAAACTAAATATTATCAAAATTTTCTTTACAAGTTGATCTATGAATTCAGTACAGTCCCAATCAAAATCTTAGTTAAATTGGGCAGGGTGCCATGCCTATAATCCCAGCACCCTGGTAAAACTGAAGCAGCAGGATCACTAGTTCAAGCCCAGCCTGGGCAACTTAACAACTTAGACCCTGTCTTTAAAAACATAACAAGGGGGCCAGGGATTTACCTCAGTGGTTCCACTGCCTGCCTTGCAAGTGCAAGGACTCGAGTTCGATCCCCAGTACCAAAAACAAAAAACAAAAATACAACAAGGGCTGGGAGGTAGCTAAGTGCAAAAACCTGTTTTCAATTCCCAGCACTACAAGGAAAAAAATCTAAGCCTGTAATTACCACCATTCATCTTCAAAATTTTTCATTATCTCAAAATGATTATCTGTATCTCAGAATAATTCCCCACTCCCTCCTCCTTCTAGCTCCTAGAAACTACTGTTCTATTTGACATCTAATAAGTTTGATTGCTATTTACCATATTTAGGTAGTATAACAGGGAATTAGTCCTTTTTGTACACGGTTTATTTCACTTAGCAGGATGTTTGTAAGGTTGATCCATTAGTAGCCCATGTTGGAATTTCATTCCTTTTTTGGGGGGAATTGCTTTTGTTCTTGCATTTGTTTTGAGATGGAATCTTGCCTCAGACTGCTGAGTATCTGGAACTATAGGAGCATGTAATTGCACTTGGCTCTTGTTGCTTTTATGGCTAAATAATATTCCACTGTAGGTGTATGCCAATTTGTTTATACAGTGATGAATATTTGGATTGCTATAATTTTTGACTATTATAAATAATGCTGCTATAAACATGGATGTATGATTATCTAAGTCTCTGCTTTCAAATGTTGAGCTATATAGCCAGAAGTAGAATCAGTGGGCCATAAGCTAATTCTATGTTTAATTTTTTAAGGAACTACTAAATTGTTTTTCAGGGTCTTATCCCTATGTAATTCAGGCTGGTCTTGAACTCACAATGATCCTCCTGCCTCAGCCTCCTAAGGCTGGGATCCCACCATGTTTGGCTAAATCATCTTTTTTTTGGTACCAGGGATCAAACTCGGGACCTTGCTCTTGTGAGGGAGGCAGTGGAACCACTGAGCTGAATCCCCAGCCCCAAATCACCTTTTTATTTTTTAAAAAAATCATACTTAATTTCTATCCCTGGAGACTAATCCAATAGATCTGAGTAACACATGATATGATTTTTTTTTTTTTCAGTACTGGGGATGGAACTCAGGACCTTGGGTTTGCCAGGCAGGTTCAGTGCCACTGAACTAAACTCCCAGCCTATATGATTCTTTTTAAGAATTCATATTTTAAAAGCTATACAAAGCAACAAGTTACTAATGGGTGGTTCTGTAAGAGTAAAAAAATAAAAGAATGTGGAAGAGGGCCTGGGATTTGGGTCAGTTCCACCACTCTTGTCTCACAAGTGCAAGATCCTGAGTTCGAGCCCTGGTACAAACAAAACAAAACAAAACAAAACAAAAAACAAACCAAAAGAAAAACAGGAACAAAAGTTGAAGTCCCCAATGTTAACATTTGGCCTATATTCTTACACACACACATACACACACACACTTATTTTTTTAAAAAACGTGAATGCAGCCACCAGTGTTCTACAACATGCTTTTTCTCTTTATATTTTATTTAGAAGAGTTTCTGCATTGATACGCATGGGTCTGGCCCAGTCTTCTCACAGGTGGACAACATTCCCAGGTACGGATGCAGGCTTCACTTCACTGACCGCTGGGTTTTCCGTGGTTCTCGAGGCCAGTTGGCCTGACTCAGCTTTGCCCACGTGCCAGCATGAGAGATGCTAAGAAGGCGTTCGTGGGTTAAGGTCTTTCCGGCGCTCGTGGGCATTTCTTGACTGCCAGCAGCAAGACAGGAGCAGGGTAAGTTCCCACCCTCAGTGCAGGGAAAGTAAGTCCCCATCCTCTTCTCAATACTGGGTTTTCCCAGCTCTTCCCATTAAAAAGATGGATT